CTCAGATACGTGTTTCTCACAAACCTGAGGAGAAGGTTTGAAGCTCCAAGGTTTTATCAGTGCTGATTACAACTGATCAGGGACAAGACACACTTGGGCATGGAAGTTTCTCGCTTCACTTAAAGAAAATAACAAGCCAACTCCTCTTCTCAGTGCACAGGCACTTTTGTTTTTCAGCCATGACTGCAAAGGAGAGTTGCTGCTGCCTGCCCTCCCAAGCCCTTTGAAGAATTAATCTTAAGTTATGGCTGGCAACAGGCACCAATGGCAAATCAATTCTTGCCAGAGATGGATTTGGGAGATTCTGCAGGTGATATTACCTGCTGGAATAAGGAACAGATATGTCTCTAAAGGACAGTTAGTTACATCTACAGGTATTACGAAGGGATTTAAACCTCCCTATTGCTTGAGGGGGGGGAAAAATGATAGTGAAGAAAACATTTGAGTGAGAACATACAAGATGAAAAGCAGAGGTGAAATGTAGGAGCTGCTTTATAGACTGGTTGGAGAGCAAAGCAAAGACACTTTTCTCTGTGCCCCCTCCCAGTTTTAATAACGGGAAAATGTATTCAAGAAACTGTGAATCTAATAGTAACCAGATTGGTGAGAGGAATTACTGAGTAAAGTAGAATAAGGCTGCAAGAATTTTAAAAATGAAGAGTAAATTGCCTGATCTGACAAACAATGTATAACTAGAGTTATCATTGACATTGACACAACTGCCTTTTTTTTTTTCCTTACTATTCAACAAGAATCTTTGTTTATCCATTTAAACCCAAAATAATAACCCTAAAAAGTTATGATACCCCACATTCTCCAAATAAACTAGGGTAGTTTCATTTTTACCTGGTTTTGGAGCAACACAACTGAAATAATTTCTTATAAAATAAAACCACCATTTTTCATATTTCCCCTACTGAAATGCTCAATAAAGAACATTTAAAGAAGTTAAAGATAAAATGCAATATATATATTTTTAGAAAAATATGCCAAAGTGGATAATAGTGGTAATTATAATCTCAGAGGTCTTTGATAAGTGCATTTCTGCTACTTTTTGTGCTTTTATTGCCCTGTCCCTTTAGACTTGCTTAATAATATTAAACTCAAATCTTATGAAAACACTCAAAGTTCAACTGCACAAAACTCAAATGTTTACCATTTTACCCTGAATCTGTCAGATATGTAGCAACAGAATAAACATGCACTTCTTAAGCATCCCCCTTTTTATCCAGGGTGAGAAGGAAAAACCAGCTGAATTTTCAAAAGCACTTAAGCGATATCAGAAATCTAAACGCCATTTTAAAAAGTAGCTTTAAAAAGTCAGATTTCATCGAGAATTGTGAAGTTTTTTTTTTCATTGCAAGTCTCCTTCTGAGATTTCAACCAGCACGCTTAGCAAAATCACCGGGTGTTCCTGTGTTTTTCCAAGTCTGCCTCTCACGACCTTCAGCATTTATTATAAACTGTAGAGACTTCCACATCTAAAAGCGTTCATCACTTTGGAAAACAGGACCTTTCCTAGTCCAGTGATTGTACTCTAGAGCTGCAGACACATTTCTCAGGGAACAGGATGCGGGCTCAAAGCACAGATGACGACTCTCCAGCTCTGCCCTCTTGACATGCTCTCTCTGAAAGGGCTCTGAGACCTCAGTCTTGCCATGGAGTCTCAGCCCAGCTGTCCCAGGAGATAACCTGCTCTCAGCCTATCAATTTTACCAGCTTTATCCATCTGGTTTGTCCTGGTAAGTTCTACTGGTTATGGATATAAATTTAAACAGCCCCTGAAGTACTCTGTGTTTCAGCTTCCACTTTGTCTCTTTTGGGTGTGGGATTTATGCCCTTTTTCACATTCACCCTGAAGGTGTGTGGGAGCCAAGTTACACCAGACTCAAACTAAAATCTTTTCATATATCTTTGAAAAAAAAACTGGGAGAAGTCATATTGATGGCACAGACAGATATAGTTACTGGATTCCTATCAGCCCAGTGATGTTTGCAGAATTATATCTGGTTTTACCAGTTCTGAATCTGCCTGTATTATGGAGCAGGTTATGTTATAAATATTTATCTGAGCAAATCTAGTATTCACACTGCTAAATCATTAGATTTACTGATTGAGCCCCCTATTAACAATATTTGTACCAATTTTTGCCAGCATGTAAAACGCACCTCCCACAACTTAACACCTCTTGAAACCCCTGAAACATCAGGAGTAATCTGATTCCAACTTTTTTACTGTCAAACACTGCAACAGGGGGCAGGGGAAGTGTTCAGAAAGGCTTACAGAGATAATGTTTACTTAGGCTGTATCATTGATTAGGAAACGTGGCCAAGACCAGTAATTACAACCGCGCTAAATTGCACGGAAATTCTGTAACACTGACATTCCACGGGAAGCAAGGTGCAAAGCTGAAGGAATAAAAGCCACCACTGAGTTTTCTTACCTAATGATTTCCAGTGTGTCTGCTGGGAAAAATGCTTATCGTGGACCTGGCTGATGTAGACAGCCAGTATGTGCCTGACAGAGGAGCTGCACATCAGCTCCCACCAAGAGCCTCCAGTGGAGAAGCTGGACAAGAACATTAACCCAGCACTTCCAAGACATCCACACGCCTTTTAAATCCCTCCAGGGATGGGGACTAAACCATTTCCCTGGGCAGCAATGATCCTCCATTCCTAACATGGATTGGTAAGACAGGCTTCATTCAGCTCACACAGAATCCAGTCCAAATCTCGACAAAAGCAACACAAGTCCACTGGTGCACTTCTGTCAGCCCTTTAGAAGCCCAGAGGGTCCCAATCCTCAAAGTTTCTTTTGACCATAAGCAGATTTCACCCCCATTGGGGTGAATGACTCCCATCCAGGCCTGCAAGCACACTGAGGTGACGTCTGCTTGGACAATATGATTGGCACCTCCGTCTTTTAAACAGGTTTTTTTTCTTCCCCCTAAATCCTTTCTCAGGACTGTTAGCAAAATTCCTTACCATTACTGAGTCTAATCTAAGCAGTAAAGAAAGAAAATTAAATTAATGTCATGCTCAATAACATGTAGAATAGAAATTGCAAGCTAAGCAGCTGCCACTAATTCCTAGTAACTCAAAGTATTATATTGAAAGAAGTTTTCCAATAACATATATTGATTTTGTCAGGTTTGTTTTGTTTTTTGGTTTTTGTTTTTGTTTTACCCAAGCAACATATGTTGCATGTTCTGTACTTGTGGGGCTCAACACACACAGGTTTCATCGCAGTATCTCTGACTTTTGCCAAAATGATGTTGAAGGAAAGCAACTTAAAACAACATGGGATAAAGTCTGTCTCAGGTCAAAATGTTTGGTTAAGAAAAACCTTGCGGGTAACGCAGTGTACTAAAAGCATTAATTATATATTTATATATAGAATTGATAGGCAGTTGAATTGATGCTTGACCACAGTTACTGAAATCATGCCATTAAATAGAAAACAATTACTAAGAATTATGTAAAAGGATAGCAATTATAGAAGTTTTTTAAGTTCCAAAGTATTCATATAATTCATTTCACTTAAAGTCCAGATTCTCACTAATATCCTAATAGCAAGTTGAAATCGTTTGACAAATGATGAAGAGCTTGAAAAGGGATGTTTTTAAACCACTCTTTGAAATAATAAAATGGCAAGCAATTCCCAGTCCCCAAAGACAAAGTATTATCCTGAGTTTGACAGGCATGTCAGCAATTTGCTGTAATTTGTGTAATACCCAATCTTAAGGCTTAGTTTATTCCAATACTTTCGTCATGACTAAGCCTAATGACAGAATTCAGTTCAATCGACTCTCTGAAAAGACCAAGAACCTAATTTTTTACATTAAAAGAAAAAAAAAAAAAATCAGTGTTTTTCATCACCTGTACCCTTTCCCATTATGAAAATAATTAGTCTGTATAGAGTCAGTTCAGCACATGAAAACTGACATGAAATGCTGAATATTTATTTTTTCCCTTGAATTTTTTAATAGTGTTGGCTCAAAAACACTGTATTAACCATTTCAGGATTTAAGACTTGATTTCGCAGACACAATAAAAGACAATATCGTTAGAACACTCCTGTGGTTACTTTCAGTGTATTTCTGATCTATTTAGGAATACCACTTCGGATGACCATGACAACAGGTCTGTAAGTTCTGCTGCTTCTGAACTGGTACTGATCAAAAAATCTGCGATGCATTGCCTTTATAGTGAAAAAGGAACTTTCCATTCCAGAAGCCAAAATAAGCTCCTCTACCCCCTCATATAACTTTCAAAAGTTGGCAGGAAAACCTAGTTTCTTCCACACTCACTGCTAGAGAAACGTGATTATACTCTAATATGAACATGCTATATAAACTTTCAAAGCAGTGAAAAGATTCCACATGAAAAAAAAAAATCAAAACCCAGGCATTAGATATTTAACAATAATTTATATTCTTAAAACAGATTATAAAGAATAAAAAATAACAAATTGTGGTCTTTCAGAGTGCAGGGGTCAATTTTTTCATCATAAACCACCACAGACTAAAGGTTCAATCCACCATTTAGATAAAAGCACAAGCCAGGTTTCATTTTTGTGCCAAAAATTACTCAAGGATTTCTTAAAGCACAAAATATTACAAAACATCATATAAACCTTGCTTTTCAACAGTGTTATTTGGCAATCAGTTTGACCTAGGACAGCTGTTCTATTGTCTATATTTCTATTCACTTATTTCAATTCGTGTACATTAAAGATAATAACATATTTAGAAATAGAACATTACTAAAGCAAAACTATTGTGATTAACACAAATTTACGTTATTAAAAATTCCACTACACCTTTGTACATGAGTAAATTCCAATAGTTTTGTTAAGAAAGCTTCCCAAGCATGATGTGATACTGGACATGAAGAAAAAGTCAAGGTTTGTAAAACTGATTCCACAGAAAACAAATCACATTAAGTCTTAACACTGGCACCTGATTGCATTTAGACAAATAAACATCTCAAGGTACTTACCTGTAAATCTGCTGAATATTTTCAGCTTTGATTTCCTTGAGAATTTCATGGTAGATATGAGGATTATTTGGTTCTTGAGATGCTGGGGGAGAAGGGCATTTCTTGTGTGCATAATATCCTATCACGATTCCAAAAATAAATAAAATCAAGGCAGTGCAAAATACTTTCAGTATCCGAACAAAACTGCAGCGGTTGCTCTTTGGTGCCTGTCTCGTGTAGTGGGAGATGTACTCAGGGTCTTCCTGAAGCCTCTGGAATCTTCCCTTGGGAGAAGATGAAGCCTGGATGGGCTCGAGATCAAGGTCAGGGCTCTGTGAGTTCCCCAGGTGATGCTGGGCTGCACCATCAAGTCGGAAATGGTCAAAGCCGGGCTCCTCCAGCTCTTTTTCCATGTCCCATTCCAGTTCCAGCGCTGTGGCTTGGAGCTCATCGTTGTCAAGGTATGGAGAGTGCCCCTGTGCCCTCTGGTCTGCGTTCACTTTGTGATAGGCCATCTTTTTATCTACTAGAACAAAATTAAAAAAAAAAAAAAAACACACAAATGTTTGTTTCCACACACAAACATAAATAATATACTTATTCATCATAAATGTGGGAGAACTAAATATAGACAATAAAAAGTAAACACTGGGTTCTCAGTATTTCACTTCCCCCATTTCCATCATCCTGTCTTCTTTTGTAGGATCAGCAGTCCATGAACACCATCAGTGGGGAGAGAAGATATTTAAGAGAACATATTGTAGGAATGTGAATAAAGGGAATTTACAAGTGCCAATGGCAAACCACAGAAGTTATCCAATTATTTTGTCAGTCCTCGAGATAATATTAAAAAATTGAGTGAAGGCACAGAGTTTCCAAAACAATTATTTGTTACCTGAAAGTAATTTTAAAGCTTAACAACTGTGTGTGTATCAATTTGATTTCACACACCGTTCAAAATAATGCTGCTAAAATAAAGTAGAAAAATTAGAAATAATATAAAATGCCTGATGTGATTCTAAACGCAAGGAAATGACAAGCTAAAGAAATTTCAGGGTGACACTGTACTTACACATCAATAAAAGCCTTCCATTTAGATGGAGCATTCTATTATTTATAGGTATTTTAAATGCATGGTTCCTGAATGACTGATGAATTTACTTAGAAATTGTCCCAGCTGTTTTGCTCCACTTATTTTTCCCATTTTAATGAATCAAAAGCACTGCCAGGTAAGTATTTGTAACAAAATCGCTCCTTTAATAGCAAGGCATAACTGTGGCACTTCCAGATATTTCTGTGGAAGTAGAAGCCTCTAAAGAGAACTCTGACCTCCAGTACCAACACTCAAAGTCAATTTTCAACAAATCATTTTTTAACAGACTGCAACAACAGGGTGCCTTCCCCTCCATGCTTTGACAACAGCCATTCCAACACATAAGCATCTGTAATTCTGGGCTTTCCAAACATCAGACTCACTTCTCAATTAGAATAAAACGAAGATAAAGATATTAAACCTCTCACAGTGATGAATACTAGACTGACACCTACAACACTATATTATCCCTCCATTTTTATGCTTTAAGGCGTTTTCACTCCTCAAGACTTACCTCAAGATAACATTACTGAAGCCACATAACAGATGAACCAACTCTACTGGCAAAGTAGAATTTCAGCTTTTTGAAGCCCTCTGAAGAGTGCAAAGTGTTAGCAAGCTCTGATATAATGAAACAGCCTATTGTCCACTGAAAGGCTATCTGGCTCTATACAATAGCAATTTACAGATCCTATTTTCCCTGTACAGCCATATAAATATCCCTGGCCTATAACTGTCAGGTAGCCCAGGAACAGCCAGGAGAGCCCACACGCTCCGAGTGGAGCTATTGCAGCCACTCGGCAAATCAATTCTCCACCTGCAGTCCAAACTCTTCTATATGCAGTGTGAGCAACAGAGTTTGGAGTGATCTCAACTAAAGCCTCTTAAATTAGCGGGAAGGTCTGCATTACTTATTTAAATAACGATAACAAATTTGGTCTTTAAATTCCAGCTGAGTCAACAAATGGTTTACACCTGCAAAGCCTTTGTGGCTGACCTTTGCAGACTTTGTTAGCCCAGCCCTCAGGTTTGTGAAGGATCCTCTGAGCTGCAGCTTTACTATCCCCACAGTTGTGCATCACCTCAAGATTTCTCAAGGGAGCACTCTGTCTCCTTATCCAGGTTGTTAAGGAAGACATTTAGTAATGCCAGCCCCAGAACTGATCCTTGGTGCACTAAGCTTCTTGTCAAGCACCAGCTGGACATAAAATGATGTATTAATGTTCTCTGGAAAACTGAGCTAACTAATTTTCAAGCTATTTATCTGCCCTTTCACTCTCTCCTCTTTTGCTAGTGCAGGGATTAATTTGCAAACCAATGAGAGATCGCTACTAGATAATATCAACTGCCCAACAACCTCATCTTTTCAACTCCATTTCATACTGCTCTTTATTGGAAGTTAAAGACCAGTGTTTTGTCCTTTAAAGCAGAACAAATTATTACTGCATTCCATAAATATATTATTTTTGACTCTAGAATTCCTAGTCATTTAACAAACTGTTTTAGCCAAATAAGTAAATCCTTAGCAGATTAGTATTGTAATAGCCATAAAACAGGAATTAAGGCAGTTTTTCAGATGCAGTTTCATGGCTAATATTAATCTTGCTGAGCTTAAAAATGTTGACCATTGCCTAACTGTGGTAGTTAGGTTTTCCCTGTATTTATGACATTTTAAAAATGTATGTTATTGTTCAATGGAGTGTATTAATAAAGGGTATTTAAATCTACACATAAGTGCATAATAAAAATCCATATGAAATTTCTTCGAATGGTTGTTAATGCAGACGGGCAGTAACCACATTCCACAGCTTAGTATCTCAGCAATTCCATTTTCATTCAAAGCACCAAAACCAGTAACCTCACTTCAGAAAAAAAACAAAAAAAACCAAAAAACCAACCAAACAAACAAAAACCAAAACCACGCACACAACTAAATGAACTAAAAATTAAAAATCAATATTCAATTCAGTTTTATATTTGAAACCAGTCTTTGGAGTACGGGATCTTATTAGCAACGTGTGTCCTTTAGTTAAAGAACGCAAGAGTAGCTGCAGTGAACAACTTCACTTTTTCTACTGATATTTCTAAGTTCATTACTTGAGTGTAAGGACACAGCACAACTTGCCCCAAAGTATCTGAGATCAGGGCCCACAGTGTATTTAACCACATTAACAGAAAAGGGTCTCCTGCTTCTCAAGGCTCAAGCCATTTGTGCCACGTAAACCACAGTATTGGTTCTGTTTACTACTGGGTATTTAGCTGTTTAAGGAAGTAGGCATGACTTAAAGACTAGATAATAAATGCAGTTTTGGGTGGAAATTAGAAGGATAAAGAAAACACTACATAGTGATTTGGAAAAAAAAAAAATTGACACTAGAAATATGGAAAAAATTTTGAAGTCAACAAAAAGCACTACAATACCCTGGTTCATTCTTCTCTATAACACAGACCATAAAATGAACATATTTCTGAAAGACATTTTTGAAAACTTCAGGAGATAGAAAATTCATCCCATCTGCCAGCAAGCTGTTTCAACATTTAATTGTTGTTAAATACATGTTTTATTATAAAGATAAAAGAGCAACTGCAAAACGCCAGAAGTCTGAATATGCACCGAGTGAGCTTTAAAGCCATTCTATAGGGACAGCAAAGGGGATCATAAACTCTGGAATACTGGACAGAGCCAAGCTGATTACCAATAAAGCTGATGTGCATTTCTATACTTCCACTGATTTGTGGGGAGAATGTTTATCGAGAGGTATCAAACCAAACCTAAATATCCTTTCAATTAACCATCCCCAAGGAATCAGGGAAGTCAGCTTTATCAGATCATTATTGCCTTAACAAGACCATTTCAAAACTATCTACCTGTTCTCTGACCTTAAAAAATAATGCATTTACATCCTGATAGGTGCATCTTGTTTTGAAACCACCAGAAACTTCTTTTTTGACAGCTTTCCTACTGTTTAAAAACTACACAATAAGGTCGACAATGAAACGTCCTGCATCTGCAGCACTGCCACTCTCCGATGCCTCCACAAGAGAAAGGTCAGCTTATACAAACATTTTATGAAAACAACAAGGAAAGAGCAATATGAATAGGCCACAGTAAATTCTTTGTGACTGGTGCTGCAGTTGTTAAATCCAGTCCATAAACAGCTGGGACAATCAGCAGGCTCATGCACAGCAGGGAGCGTGGCAAGTGTCAATGTGCTGCCCCCAGAGAATCCTTCTTGGGCCATTTAGTGTTCATTACTGAAAAGGCAAACTTCACCCAGCAACTGTACTAAAGGCATTGCAGCCTCTTCGTGTAGTTATGGAACGTGAAATCCAGGCTTGTTGGCTCTTCTCATTTTAAGGGCTCTTTCATTTTTAGTTTCTCCTCAGTATCTTCTACACTGACTGCCTTTCTTGTAAGTCCTTGCAATCTCTTTGTGTCTAGGTAAACCCCTGAAGTAGATATAATGTCACCTGCTTAAAGCTGTAGTTTATCACGGAACTCAACACCCACTGCACTTACAAGTCTTTAAAGTATATATGACAACAATTTAGTACTTTGCTAAACGAGATGATGCCAAGTTTCAGGCCCAGACAAATTTCTTTAGAGTTGTAAATCCCTGACAAAAGTTGTTTGCAGAAAAGATTATGATGCCCTTGTCAACAGCAAGGTTACACTACCCCGTAATTCAAAAAATAATGTGATATTTCCATCACCACTGCCCTAATTTCCTGCAGTAATGATTTCTCCCTTCCCTCACGTTTGGGATATGGGCTTGGCAACCAGATCAGTTACAGCAGGACAATTAAATACCTTGTCACTCCACACAGCCACCATATAAAAACAAATGACAAAACTCACCAGTTGCTCACATTTCACTGGAGATGAACCCAACCTGAAAGACCAAGCAGAGTGATAGCAGAAGACAGAATAGAGAGATCAGACTGGAGTAAGAAGGTCTGTAGAACTCAGCCAAATAGAGCCTAAGTTGTCCCTTCATTAATAAGTGCTTTTTTGCACACATAAATGTTGTGGAATATTTAACTTCTTCAAAATCTCTCACCCATTTTATTATTTCATGAACAGCCATGTGGACTGGGATAGAATTAACATCAACACAAAGGATGACCCCATGACAAGAAGAGGGTCCATACTACACCTTGATTGATTAAGACTTGTGCACAATAATTTCCAGCTGGAACAAGAGTTAACGTGCCTGGGATCAAACATATCAGCCACCTGAGCTATAATATCCTGGACCACCCAGATTTGCATAGGTACATGGATGTATTTGCCTGCTGCCTTTTCAGAACCTCTGAATTCCTGGGACTCAGAGAAAGAAGAATTCCTGGGAAGCTCCTTCTTCCCAGCAAACAACTATCACATAAAGATGAGGCAGCTTTGGCTCGTCTCTAATATGCAGGGCATGTAT